TGCTGCTAATGAACAAACTCGTCTGGTTCTCGAGTGAACTAGAAGTGGTCTCAATTGTTGGGATGGCCGGCATTGGGAAAACAACTTTAATTAGTAGTCTTTATAATGATCCATCAGTTGCATCGGCATTCGATGTACGAAGATGGGTTTCTATGCCTGGGGGATACAATAAGGTGAGCCAACTGCTACACATCCTTCTTTGGACACTACTACCTGAGGCAGATGATGAAATTAAAAAGGGAATCATTCCTGATGATCTAGCAGCTGAGCAGGTATACAAATGCTTGAAAGGTAAGAGATATCTAATTGTTTTGGATAACCTACCGAACAATCAAGCTTGGTATGATATCCGGCATTGTTTACCTGATGAAACAAATGGAAGTCGCATAGTGATAACCACTACGCATTTTTTAAGGAGGGGGGATAATTATGCTTACTCAAATAGCAATATTCATAACATGACTTTGCTAAATCAAGAAGAAAGTTGGGCTTTATTTTGTAATAACCCTTTTTTGAAACTGAAAAAACATATGGCACCACCTAAATTTCAAGAAATTAGGAGCCAAGTTGTAGAGGTATGCGAAGGATTGCCATATTCAATTCTTGTAGTTGCAAAACGTCTATCTAAGTGTGATAACATAACAGAAGAATGGAAGAAGGTTGAAAAGGAAATAGAGTTGCTTGGAGTTCTAGATAGGAGGGCACTGACCCACACTTACAAACAATTGTCACAACACTTAAAAGTTTGTTTTCTATATTTTGGAGTCTTTCCAAAACGCACTGCAATCAAAGTGAAACTACTTATAAGGTTATGGATAGCTGAAGGATTTATTAATCCACCGGAGGGCAAGGAGTTAGAAAGTCAAGCTTATGAGAATTTACAAGAGTTTATTGATAGAAGTCTTATTCTAATTGACAATTGGAGTTCTTCCGGAAAAGATAAGAAGTGTAGGATGCATAGTGCCTTGCATAGCTTTTGCGTAAGAGAAGCTCAAAAAGAGGGCATTTTTTGTGCTTTAAATACTCTGCAACTTCCACGAGGATCATATAGCATGTTTGCAAATTCATGCCGCTGGTTAAGCTTATACGCACATAAATTTGACTATTATGTGTTGTTAAGAGCAAACAACCCTCGCTCCATTTTATTCTTTCAAGAAGATACTGAAATATATGTATCTTTCAAGTTGCTAAGAGTTTTGGCTTTTGTTCCATCCTCATTTCTTCAAAGAGTGCCAGCATGTTTACATGATTTAGTTTTTTTGAGATACCTATATGTTACAGAATGGTTTGAGGGTTTTGATTATGTGGTGTCAACCAATCAAAACTTGCAGACACTTGTTGTTTCTAGTAAAGAATCCCAATTTGGAGCGCCTACTCGCCACTTGCCTTGTACAATTTGGGAGTTACCGCAGTTACGGCATCTTGAGCTTGACAAATCTTATGTGATTGATCCTCCAAGCATGATTAAAGATAAGATGCGAATATTATCTTGGGTGTGTTCAACTCATTGTAGAGCAGGAGTATATTGCAAGTTTCCAAACATTGAAAAATTAAAAGTCTTTGTATTCTGCAGCAATCCTATTATTTTGGATAATCTTGAATATTTGGAACGTCTTGAGATACTATCAATTTCAATTTCGTTTGGTTGCGTTGTAACCCTTCCAAAGCCATCTATCTTTCCTTCACAACTAAAGAAGTTGAGGTTGAACGGTACTAACCTTTCAGAGAGGGATTTAAAGGCAATTGAAATGTTGCCTCAGCTTGAGGTTCTCAAATTGGAAAATGCCTTTGATGGAAAAGTATGGGAAGTAGAAGCAAGTGGATTTCCTAGATTACAATTCTTGCTTCTTGAAGATAAAAAGCTCAAGCAATGGAGAGTTGATAAAAATTCATTTTATTGGCTTGAGCGCTTAGTCCTAAGATTTTGTTATTGTTTGGAAAAAATCCCTCTTACTACGGAACATATTCTGTTCTTGAAGTCAATTGAGTTCCAGCAGTGTTGTCCTTCCGTTGTCACTTCTGCAGAGGATCTCCAACGTAAAAGTAGCAGACTACGCCATGCTTTTGAGGTTAGAATTGAAGCTATTTTTAGGTTAGAAGCTGCGTAGTATAATTTTCTTTACATGTGTTTAGCCTTGTCATCCTTAGCTTCATTAATATCTCATTTCACTTTCTTCATTCTTAATTTGCATTCTGTTTTTCATATATATATAGATCAAAATCGTGGGACCTGAATATGATGATGAATCACAATGTACAGACATAGAAGAGTCTATGCCTTCAGATGAAGAATGAGAGTGTACACAAACACAAGAGTTTATAGCTTCAGATGATGAATGACGATGACAAGCTAATGTATGGATGCATGCAAGCTAGAATTGATCGAATCACAAAAATTCTTAACGTTTATTATTAACTACAGATCGATATGCCCTGTTGTCACCTTTCTGATGGCGTGGAGTTTCCATATCAATCTGTTATCGTTTTTGGTGATCTTATAAATAAGCATTGTCTGCAGGCACAGAGGATATTTGGTAACAGATGGACAGAAATGCGAAGGTGATTTCAGGCAGGTAATGAAATGCACTGGATTCCCCGTTTCCTGATTGAGTTAGATGGTTTTAATGGCGCTTTAAATCCAAGCTTGTCTGTTCGTGCAGAACTGATAATGCTGTGAAGAATCGGTTCACGATCCTCTGCAAAAAGAGAGCGAAGAACGAGGCATTAGCAAAAGAAAACAGTGATTCATCCATTAATAGGAGGTTATCTTTCCAAGTTGGCTCAACAGTGATAGCATTTCAGAATCTGCAGTGCCCCTTAAGAAGCAAAGGTAAAATTCATTTAGTGTGCTTCAACTCTATATGATCATGCTCCAGTAAATAACGTTTGGTTTGTGGCGTTTAGGAGGACTCACATTCCAGATCCCCCAGAAAGTTTTAGCAACGGGGAAAAATCATTAACGAATGCAGTCAACCGTCTTGGAGGTATTGTCACGTGGAAGCTAAATATGTTATTTGGGAATGTTTGTCCACAAAAATGGGAGTGCCGAATATATTGTTTGTGCAGGCAACTCGGAGTATAGCACATTGATGATGAATTTGCATTGCATCTGGCAATAATGCCTCGACTTCTCAAGGTGTGAAAGATTTCTACTTTGTGCAACCCATTTTTAATTGGATTAATAGTCACTTCCACCTTATAAAACTTGTTTGTTTCCAGTCGATATGTTCCCACCTTGTGACAAAGTTAATCCCGTTAATGAGACTATATGTGATTATTCAAATGAAGAATGTTGTTCCCCTCTTCAAGTAACCCCGATGTTCAGATCACTAGCAGTAGCTATTCCCAGCCCGAAATTTTCAGAAAGTGTGAGTAACACCCTTCATTGTTTCACTATCTGACCTAAACTCGATTCAATGCTGACACTCTTTTTTTCATTCGTTTTCAGGAGAGACAATTCCTACTAAAAATGCTTGGAATGGAATCTATGTCTCCGAACCCTTCTCATATCCCATCGTGCAAGAGGGCCCTCTTCCATAGTTTATGACAAAACTTACCAATCAATCTCATGCAGATTCTGCGGGGCTCAACCACCATGACTTTTCATCCAAAAATTTCAGGCATGTGTAGATTTTTTTTAAGCCAGTTTTCCTTTGGATTGCAGTCATTATGACCTGAGTTTTTACAAAGAGGCCATGAAGATCTGGTCCCAAAGACCACAATAAGATGGTCTGCATCCTTTCTCAACTTACCAGCCTAATACAGTGTGTAGAGTGTTGTTATTATTATTATTTTTTTTTGTGTCACATTCTTTTGTGTGTTGTATGGGAGAGTTGGATAGGGCATCCAATAATGTTCCCATAAGGCTTTTTTACGGTATTTATATGCCAATTGTACAGAATATATAGAATGTAGTTACAGATTGGCACATCGCCAATGATATAGAACATATCAAAAAGAAGAATACATTGATAGAAGAGAGGAGGATGAACATTGTCGTGAGGCAGAGTGTTGGACTTGGCCGTTCAGACCTCTGCCCGACACTCCCCCTAACTATATAGTGCTGGACTTGATCCTTTACTGGCTTCCGCCCAATGAGATGCACATATGCATGCCCAGAAACCATGAAAGAATTATAAAACGACACGTTCTTGGATACATATATAGAATAGGAGAAGAGTGGAGATAGAGTTTCTTACACTGTTTTGTAGCTTTTGTGTGGCCATGAATTCAGAAACTTCCTTGACAGCACCTACTGGAGATCTGCAATGGGGTAAGTGTTGTGGGGAAGAAGCTAAGGGGTCTGAGAAACTCTCTCTGTTATTTAAGTTGGTCAGTGTGATCATGGCAGAATGAATAAAGTAGGGGAGGGAACTCTTTGCAAATTAAACTCTCTCTTTGAAATGCATTATTAATATATAAAAATCATGTGGACTTCCTCTTGTTTTCCACCATCCTCTGCAACTTCCTCCATTTCTTCCTGAGAAATCATTGCTTCCTAGACAGAGGGAGGGTTGCCACTACAAATGCTGACAAACTTTCTTGTTGATGTGATGGTCAGAGAACCAAATCGAGTAATGGTTAGAACTAATAACTTTCTCGAATCCACTGGCATTTGGCCGGCCAAACATGAAGACCATGTTGTAAATATAATGAAATATTGAAAAGATAAATGAGCTACTCAACCTATATATTGAGTTGGTGTATCACTGCAAGTATAGATCATAAGAAGCTTACTCAGAAATGACCATATCAAACAGACCACATTTTTTACCATATCCAACCAGGTGGCATTTGAGAATCAACATTCAACTTTGGACAGCCGGAAGGGGGCAGAAATTGACTTTCTTGAAAAATATATTTTCCAGAAGCTCTTAATAAGTAGACCATCTTATTCTGCACTGTTTGGAGGGCTGTTGGCTCATCCACTCATTGATTGAGAAAACTTGAGATCTGAAATTCTGAATAATTTGAGAGAGAGAGAGAGAGAGAGAGAGAGAGAGAGAGAGAGAGATGGCTTGTGTTGCTTTGAGCTCTCTCATGGCAACAATGGAGTTGGAGTTTCTGCAACCCAGTCCAAGGGTTTCTCTTGATGATGAAGCATCTATATCAGTGGAATCTTTGTTCGAAAATCTTTCATCTTTGCAAGCTTTTGTGCAGGAGAAATCCGGGGGTGGCGCTGCGATAAGAGATTTAGAAATCAAGATCAGAGACTTTGCACTTCATGCTGAGGACCGCATCGAAATACAACTAAGCAACTTCGTTCTGGCCAATTCCAAAGACACACAGGATCAACAAAAAGCTTCCCAGCAACTCCACCAAATCTTGGGAGAAGCAGCAGAAAACGCAGCAGACTTGCTGCAAATCATAATCAACCAAGCTGATGATGAGGCCAATGAAAGTGGTCAACCACTAATTCCTTGGTTAAAACAAAATGCGGCTTTGGAGCCCAGTAATGATACATCCTTACGGCATTCTTCAATGGTCGGTCGTGGCCGTGATCATACGATGATAAAGGACATACTCCTCTCGGCCGACCGTAATCTAAGAGTAATCTCAATTGTTGGGATGCCTGGCATCGGAAAGACAACTTTAGCCAGAAGTGTCTTTAGAGATCGATCAATTGCATGGCGTTTCGGTGTACGAGGTTGGGTTACTATGTCTTGGGGATATACTGCTAGCCAAATGCTACACCAGCTTCTTTGGACAATAGCAGAGCCAGATGAAATTAAAAAGGGAAGCATTCCAGATGATCTAGCAGCTGAGCAGGTATACAATTTCTTGAAACATAAGAGGTATCTAATTGTTTTGGATAACTTATGGAACAATGAAGCTTGGTATGATATAAGAAGTTGTTTTCCTAATGATTATAGTAAAAGTCGCATAGTGCTAACAACTACCCATTTCAGCCGGAGTTCTACTGACCCATATAACTATATTCATAACATGACTTTGCTAGATCCGGAAGAAATTTGGGATATATTTTGTAATAACCTTTCTCTGGAACATACGCCACCTAAATATGAAAACATTAGGAGCCAAGTTGTAGAGAAATGTGAAGGATTGCCACACTCAATTGTTGTAGTTGCACAACGTATGTCTAAGTGTGACAACATACATCAAGAATGGAAGAGAGTCGAGAAGGAATTAGAGTTGATTGGATTTCTAGATAGCAAAGCGCTCACCTTCAGTTACAATCAATTGCCGCAACCTTTGAAAGTTTGTTTTTTATACTTTGGAGTCTTTCCAAAACGTAGTGCAATCAAAGTCAAACAACTTATTAGATTATGGACTGTCGAGGGATTTGTGAAGCCATTGGAGCACGAGGGGTTAGAAAATCAGGCTTATGAGTATTTACAAGAGCTTATTGATAGAAGTCTTATTTTAATTGACACTCGGAGTTCTGATGGAAAAGTTAAGACTTGCAGGATGCATAGTGCCTTGCATAGCTTTTGGGTAAGAGAAGCTCAAAAAGAGAGTATTTTTTGTGCGGTAAATACTCGACAATATCCACAAGGGTCACTTAACATGTTTGCAAATTCATGCCGTTGGTTAAGTTTATACAAACATAGTTTTGACTATTATGTATTGTTCAAAACAAACAACCCTCGCTCTGTTTTCTTCTTTCAAGAAGATGCTGAAATATATGTACCTTTCAAGTTGCTAAGAGTTTTGGCTTTTGTTCCATCTTCATTTCTTCAGAGAGTGCCAACACGCTTACATGATTTAGTTTTTTTGAGATACCTATATGTATCAGAATGGTTTGAGGGGCTTAATGATGTAGTGTTAGCCAATCGAAACTTGCAGACACTTGTTGTTTCTAGTAAAGAATCCCAACTTGGAACACCTACTTTGCATTTGCCTTCTACAATTTGGGAGTCACGACAATTACAACATCTTGAACTTGACAAATCTTATGCAATTGATCCTCCAAGCATGGATAAAGATAATATGCAAACATTATCTTGGTTGTGTCCAACTCATTGTAGAACAGAAGTATATTCTAGGTTTCCAAATATTAAAAAATTGAAAATGTTTGTATTTGGCAGCAATCCTATTATTTTGGATAATCTTGAATATTTGGAACGACTTGAGAGGCTATCAATTTCAGTTTGGTTTGGTTGTGCTGTAACCCTTCCAAAACCATCTATGTTTCCTTCACAACTAATGAAGTTGAGGTTGAATGGTGCTAACCTTTCAACGATGGATTTAATGGTAATTGGCATGTTGCCTCAGCTTGAGGTTCTCAAGTTGGAAAATGCCTTTTATGGGGAAGTATGGGAAGTAAAAGAAGGTTTTTTTGGATTAAAATTCTTGCTTCTTGAAAATAAAAAGCTCAAGCAATGGATAGTTGGTGAAGGTTCGTTTCAATGTCTTAAGCACTTAGTCCTAAGATTTTGTTATTGTTTGGAAGAAATCCCTATGATTATGGAAGATATTGATACCTTGGAGTCAATTGAGTTGCAGCAGTGTTGTCCTTCCATCATCACTTCTGCCGAGTGTATTCTAGAATCTCAACGCGATGCTGGAAACAATATTTTAGAGGTTAGAAGCTACTATACGACTATACGTACAACATGATTCATTCTTACTTTTCCTATTCAATGCTTTCTTTCTTTACCAAATCGATCATGTGCTACTGTTTCTCCTTCTGATCCCATTTCATTGTTTTCATAGATCAAAATAATGGGACCTGAATATGATGAATCACAAGAGTCTGTACCTTGAAGCAGTTTGGGTTAACAGTTGAGTGATCATCTCATATGCTAAATCACAAGGTATGTTGCATTAGAATATGAAGAAGAAAGCAGGGACTACTAATAGCAGTGAAGCCTCAAAGCCCAAAGAGAGACACATTGTTTCTTGGTCTCAGGAGGTCTGTTGTTTTACTGCTTGGGTTTACTGTTCTGATTCGCCATTTTATCCCAATGTTGAGTGTAGTCTCATTTGGATGGATGTTGTGACAATGTTTGTGCAGATGGTTTACTTATTTGAACTCCGATTTCAAAAGGGGGGATGGTCTCCTGAAGAAGATAAGCTCTTATGTGAGGTAAAAATCGATACTGAATAGCATCATCTTTTGAACTCCATGCTACTGTCTCCCCGGATTTTGAGTTAGCACCCGAAAAAAAGAAAAGAAGAAAGTCTAGCACTTGACTTATGTTGTGTTTGAAGCTAGTTTTGTGTTTGAAGTTGTGCTAGTTTTTCTGTTTCTCGTACACTAGTTTTTTCTTGCTTTCTGGTCTTGCATATGATCAATATGCCCTGTTGAGGAGTTTCCATATCAATCCATTTAGTTATCGTTTTGGTGATCATATAAATAAGCGTTGTCTGCAGGCATAGAGGATATTTGGCAACAGATGGACAGATTGATTCTAAAACACTTGCAGTACAGTGCTTTCATAGTTTATTTCTCTATATCCCAAGATTTTCTGATTGCAACAACTTAAAAAGGCCATTCAAAGTTCAACTTCTGAACAATATTTTTATAGTAATAGTGTATTTATAGGTGTAGTTCATTTCCCCTTAAAGATGGTTATCTAATGTCCGAATATGTATATTTTTGGGTGACGAGGAAAACCTGCAACCACTACTCGAGGGTGTGCACTAAGTAAATCTTGCCTTGTGACCCTAGTTGTCAAAGAACGACAGGAAAGGTTAGGGGGTAAACCAGCCTAGTGAAATAATAATGATAATAATAATAATAATAATAATAATAATAATAATAATAATAATTTTTACAATAAAATCATTTTACATTTAAAATTATTTTCAATAATAGTGAAATAAATAAAAAACACACCACAATACACTTATGTAAACATTTCCAAATATAAATGGTGACTCAAATTTTAGAAGCATTTATCAAAATTAAGATTTCATACTTCCTATCCTAATAAATTTAAACTTAAAATAACATAATATATTGATAGGGACGTTTTTCACGCATCCATCAAGTATCAAATTACAGTATAGAGTTTAGATATCGTTCCACTGAAGATGGCTCTTGTAATGTTAGGAATTGATTGCAAAGCGGAGTTAAGCACAAGCTAGAACTATTCTTTTAGAAGCTAGACCTATTGGTAAGGAGTTGGTTTGATATGATTAGGCTAATAACAAATAAGATAAGTAAAACAAAGGATCGTGACTTGGTTGATTCAAGCTAAGATGTCAAATATTGTACTAAAGATTAGAGAATTAAATCAAGGCATAGGGTAAGTGAGATGCACAAGAGTGTCCAAATACCACTCTCGTAGTTATTTGGACTTGCAACCTCACCTTAAACTCCACTCTCGTGGCAATTCAACCCAAGGTTGCCCAAGCAAAGAACACAAGGCATAAATTCTCCTTAATACCCGAAATACTCTCGTATTGGGCATTAAGTGTGTGAATGTGTGGCTAGTGTACAAGCTCTATTCTCGTAGCAACAAACACACTCCAAATCAAGCATATAATTGGGATCCAACAATTATACACAAATTTCTCAACAAGCCCATTTCACACAACAACCCTAGATCACCCAAATAATCCCCTTTATGCAATACAACTCAAATAGGCATCAATAGCAAGAAATCAAACCAAATCCTAGTCCCAAAACACTTAGCTACTCATAATCTAACAATAGATACACAATATTGAAAGAGAAATTGAAAGCATAGATGAAAAGTAAAGAGAAGAGATGAATAAGAAAACTTCTCTATTGAAGCCTTGAAATCCAAGATTTGCAATGTTCTTGAGCTTGGAAATGGAAAGGAAACACAAATCTACACTAATCTAAGCTATTCTAAACTAACCCTAACTAGAGAAATGAAGGGGAAATGAAAGATGAAATGAAAGATATGTTTTGGGGTGGAAAAATCCCCTTAAAAGGGTAAAAAACGGGCTGCAAAAAGTTGCAGAGGGCTGGCCACGGGTGTGGCCACGCCCTTGGCCACACCTGTGGCCAGAAAGGCCATGTGTACTGTCCAGTGGCCACGGGTGTGGCCACGGCCGTGGCCATACCCGTGGCCACCAGGCAGTGATTTTTCTGTGCACTGCGACTGTCTTCTAGGTACTTTTTCACCCTCTAAACGTTTGAATTAGTCTTTGGTGCTTGAATCAAAGTTGTAGCCCTTCAAGTTAGCTTTCCAATGATATAAAATTCACTTGGTTTGGACATTTCTACGCAGAGATATGATCAAAAAATCGAGCAGTGGACGATTTGTGCGGGAATTTCAACTTCTTGCTCTTTTGCTCCACTTTTGCCTTTGTTTGTCCAAATGACCAAGACCAATAAACACACCATAATTTGGCTCTCTAAAAGGTGTTTCTCCATCTTCATAGCTTCTCATTGACTCCCATTGGCTCTACAAGCATCCAAAATGCCCCAAAAATCACTCAATTCATCTAATTCATCAAGAATTACACATAAACACACAAATGAATCAAATGAGGATACTTTGGGCAAAAATATAATAAATAACAAGGAAAATAAGCTTAAATGCAAGGTGAAAACATTAACATTTTGACACTTATCAACTCCCCCACACTTTAACGTTTGCTTGTCCTCAAGCAAAAACAAGAACTAAATCACCAATAAGGCACCGAAGTTGATCATACTCCCACTTTGTACAACTTAACAAACCACAATCCAACTCGACACAACACAACTTGTTTCAAGAATCATCTTAGCATTCCACACAAGTTCCATTCTCAAGCCAATAACCAAGCACCAAAATTATTATAGAGCGTGAGGATCAAGTGTGCACAAATACTAAGTTGAGATTATGCAAAACTTGGCTTTGAATGAGATTCCATAGGCTTGCCCTTCATACTCCCACTAGTTCAACTCTAAGATTGCATGTTAAGATCAAGTAGGACTTTTATTAGGCTTGTAATGAGGCTAAGGGTGAATGGTTGACAAAGAAGAGGTAAGGAAATCAAATAAAAGAGAGAACTTCACACTTATTCACAATTGAGATTGGAGAGATATGGCATCAAAGAACTAAGGAGCAACTAACAACTAAACACAAAGTAACACTCTAAAGTAGTGGAGGTTGAGAACAATTTTCAAAGCAAACTATCAAACTTTTATTAAACTTCTTCTTTTTCATTTCTTCATCTCTTTTCAACATTTTCATGACTTTTTTTTTTCAATTTTCTCATCATTTTTTCTCTCTTTTTTTTTTTTTTTTTTGAAATCAACAAAGAAACTCTTTCAATAAATCTAGACCATCACACTTAGATAACATTATAGAGAGTGTTGCTAACAAAACAAGCTCCAAAAAGAAAAAGAATCACTTCCAACAAAAAGAACAAGTGCACTATTCTCTCAAGGGTGGAGGGAAACATTTTGGCTAAGGTTTAAGGGTTAAATGACAAGGGCTAACACAAGAAGAACAAACACAAAGGGGATTAAGTGCTTAGCACTTATAGAACAAACACAAAAGGCTCAACGGGGACAACTAGGGGTAAACAAATATGTACAAGGGTAGGTTTAAAGGCTTGGGCTAAACAAAAATGGCCTAAATCATTTCAAAACATGCAAATCTTAGATTTCACTTGGAGAGTAATGAGGCAAGTTCTAGCAAAACAACCATTATCGGAATCTCACATAAGCCTTCACTAGCAATGCACTACACACAAGATCAAGAATTTATTCAATTATTAAGTGGTTAACAAGACCATTGGCAAGAGAATAGATCAATCATGTGTTGCACCTTGACTCATCAATCACAAGTTGCATTGTAACAAGTTCCACCAAGGCAAACCACAAACCAACAAAGGGGAGTAATCACAAATTCAAGTATATAAAGGCAATTTATTCAACACAAAGCACAATGAGTCATCCAAGCAAGGTTTCAAAAAGTTAATTTTTTTTTTTTTTAGAAAACACCTAAATTATCCCCTCCCACACACTTAAAGGCTACATCGTCCTCGATGTGAAAGAAAATAAAGCACGAGGAGAGGAAATGGTGGCACAATAACCCTCACCTACAATCAATTACCAGAACATTTAAAAGTTTGTTTTTTTATATTTTGGAGTCTTTCCAAAACGTAGTGCAATCAAAGTGAAACTAATAATTAGGTTATGGATTGCTGAGGGATTTATTAAGCCATTGGAGTTTAAGGAGTTAGAAAATCAAGCTTATGGGTATTTACAAGAGCTTATTGATAGAAGTCTTATTCTAATTGACAATATAAGGTGTGGTGAAAAAATTATGAATTGTAGGATGCATAGTGCTTTGCATAGCTTCTGTGTAAGAGAAGCTCAAAAAGAGGGCATTTTTTGTGCTTTAAATATTCTGCAACTTCCACGAGGGTCTAGTATGTTTGCAAATTCATGCCGCTGGTTAAGCTTATACACACATAAATTTGACTATTATGTGTTGTTAAGAACAAACAACCCTCACTCCATTTTCTTCTTTCAAGAAGATGCTGATATATTTATATCTTTCAAGTTGCTTAGAGTTTTGGCTTTTGCTCCATCTTCGTTTCTTCAAAGAGTCCCAATACGCTTACATGATTTAGTTTTTTTGAGATACCTATATGTATCTGAATGGTTTGAGGGTCTTGAGTATGTAGTGTCAACCAATCGAAACTTGCAACACTTGTTGTTTCTAGTAGAGAATCCCTACTTGGAACACCTACTATTCATTTGCCTTCAACAATTTGAGAGTTACCGCAGTTACAACATCTTGAACTTGGCAAATCTTATGTGATTGATCCTCCAAACATGGATAAAGACAATATGCAAACATTATTTTGGGTGTGTCCAACTCATTGCAGAACAGGAGTATATTGCAGGTTTCCAAACATTAAAGATTTGAAAATCTTTGTTTCTGGAGGCAATCCAATTACTTTGGTTAATCTTGAATGTTTGGAACGACTTGAGATGCTAACAATTTCCGTTTTGTTAGGCCATGTTCTAACCCTTCCAAAACCATTTGTGTTTCCTTCACAACTAAGGAAGTTGAGCTTGAATGGTATTAACCTTTCGGAAAGGGATTTAAGGGTAATTGGCATGTTACCTGGGCTTGGAGTTCTCAAGTTGAAAAATGTCTTTTATGGGAAAGTATGGGAAGTAGAAGCAAGTGGATTTCCTAGATTACAATTCTTGCTTCTTGAAGATAAAAAGCTCAAGCAATGGAGAGCTGATAAAACATCATTTCGTTGGCTTGAGCGCTTAGTCCTAAAATTTTGTTATTGTTTGAAAAAAATCCCTCATACTATGGAAGATATTTTGTTTCTTGAAGTCAATTGAGTTCCAACAGTGTTGTCATTCCGCTGTCACTTCTGCAGAGGATATCCGACGTGAAATAACTTACAGAACCCAACCTTTTGAGGTTAGAATTGAAGCTATTTTTAGGTTAGAAGCTGCGTAGTATAATTTTCTACCCTTTACATGTGTTTAGCCTTGTCATCCTTAGCTTCATTAATATCTCATTTCACTTTCTTCATTCCTTAATTTGCATTCTGCTTTTGATATATATAGATCAAAATCGTGGGACCTGAATATGATGAATCACAATGTACAGTAGACACAGAAGAGTCGTCTATACATTTAGATGATGATGAATCAGAGTGTTCAGATGAAGAATCAGAGTGTACACAAACACAAGAGTTCATAGCGATGACAAGCTAATGTATGGATGCATGCTAGAATTGATCCAATCACAAAAATTCTTGGTTACTACACATTCTTAATATTCATTATTACTTTTTCTTTGTTTTTATTACTTTGCAGACACAGAGGATTTTTGGTAACAGATGGACAGAAATCGCGAAGGTGGTTTCAGGCAGGTAATGAAATGTAATGGATCTCAGTTTGCAACAACTTAAAGGCCCTTCAAAGTTGTTTATGATTGTATCAATGTTTGTGGTGGTTTATGTATCAATTTTTGTATTATGTTGCCTATATGTTGTTGTTTGTTCACATGAGAACGGCTCAATCAGTGGATCTTCTGATACGAAAAGAATCTTTTTTAGGTACTTGAAGATTTTCTCAATCATACAAAAGATGGTGATGTGACGAAATGCCAAATTTCGTCATGGAGATATCGTCACGTGCAAACTAAATATGATTTTTTTTATCAAGTTAACAGCAAACACGTAAAAGTGTAATTTTCAAAAAAAAAAAAAAAAAAAAAAAAAGTGCAAAACGACGTCGTTTTGCACTAGGACGCACAATGCAATGCGCACCCTGGTGCACGATATAAATTGCCTGATATTGGCTGGTTGATATAAGTTTTTCTAACAACCATATTTTTTATTTTATTTTTATTTTTAATCACTAATGGTTAGGTTGTTGATGGTGGATAATATTAATTGATTTTTTTATATATATAAATCATCAAAAGTCAACTCGATCAATAAGTAAGTGCATGCACATAATACAACTCAATTGTTTTTTTTTTTCCTCGGACAGTGACAATATTAATGCTTTCATGTGCAGCATCAGGTCAGAGAAATTAAATGAGTTGGACTTGTTCAAGAAATCAAATTAATTATAAATAATCAAATTAAATATAAAAAGTGGTTGGCGTTATTTGGGAGAAATTAATAATATACTTCCATGTGCACCATGCATCCAGACTTTGTATTATAATTAAAATTTAAATTAAATAAGCTAAAAATATTAATATTAAATAACTTGAGATAAGATTCACAAGTTTTTACAATTATATATATACATATATTTTGATAACCTAAATATTACGCAAAAGTGACGGTGGTGGGTGTCCGGCGATGGTGATTAATATTATGCAAGGTGGTGGACAGTGATTATATAAACGGAGTATTTGTTAATTTATTAATAGTTCAATGTGCACCATTGGTGGATGGGTGACAGTTTTACAGATGAGAGAAATTAATTAAAACAATATTTTAAGAAGCAGATGAGACCACCTTCATATTTTTATGCAATGTTTGGAGGGTTGTGGCCTCACCCACTCAATTTGAAAGAGAGAGAGATTAAAAAAAAAAAAAAAAAAAAAAAAAGAAGAAAAACTTGTTATCTGAATACTTTGAATTGAAAGAGAGATCTATTGAGATGGCTTGTGTTGCTTTGACTTCTCTGATGGCAACAATTAAGCTACATGAAGGGTTTATATCAATGGAATCTTTGTATGAAAAGCTTTCATCTTTGCAAGCTTTTGTGCAGGAGAAATCTGCGGCAAGGGGTGGCACTGCAATCAGAGATCTGGAGATACAGATGAGAGACTTTGCACTGGATGCCGAAGACCGCATCGAAATACAACTAAGCAACTTTCTTCTGGCCAACAACGGAGAGGATCAACAAAAAGCTGCAGAGAAACTCCATCAAACCTTGGGAGAAGCAGCAGAAAACGCAGCGGAGTTGCTGGAAAAAAGCAAGGAATTGGAAACTGATGATGAACAAGTGGTGAATGAAAGTGAAGGATCAGTGATGATTCCTTGGTTAAAACATGATTCCGCTTCGGAGCCCAGCAATGTCGTTATGGTGGGTCGTCGCCGTGATCGTGAGCTGATAATGTACAAACTCATTTCGATGTGGTGGTCTAAGAAACTAGAAGTGATCTCAATTGTTGGGATGGCCGGCATTGGGAAAACAACTTTAATTAGTAGTGTCTATAACGATCCATTAGTTGCAGAGCGTTTCGATGTACTAAGTTGGGTTTCTATGCCTGGGGGATACAATAGTGGGAGCCAACTGCTACACATCCTTCTTTGGACACTACAAGCTGCAGGGGCAGAAGAAAGAGAAAAGAGAAGGATTCCTGATCATCTAGCAGCTGAGCAGCTATGCAAATGCTTGAAAGGTAAGAGATATCTAATTGTTTTGGATAACTTATGGAACAATCAAGCTGGGTATGATATCCGACATTGTTTACCAGATGAAACAAATGGAAGTCGCATAGTGATAACCACTACGCATTTTTTAAGGAGGGGGGATAATTATGCTTACTCAAATGACAATATTCATAACATCACTTTGCTAAATCAAGAAGAAAGTTGGGCTTTATTTTGTAATAATCCTTTTCTGAAACTGAAAAAACATATGGAACCACCTAAATTTCAAGAAATTAGGAGCCAAGTTGTAGAGATATGCGAAGGATTGCCATACTCAATTCTTGTAGTTGCAAAACGTCTATCTAAGTGTGACAACATAACACAAGAATGGAAGAAGGTCGAAAAGGAAATAGAGTTGCTTGGAGTTCTAGATAGGAGGGCACTCACCCACACTTACAAACAATTGCCACAACACTTAAAAGTTTGTTTTCTATATTTTGGAGTCTTTCCAAAACGCACTGCAATCAAAGTGAAACTACTTATTAGGTTATGGATAGCTGAAGGATTTATTAATCCACCGGAAGGCAAGGAGTTAGAAAGTCAAGCTTATGAGTATTTACAAGAGTTTATTGATAGAAGTCTTATTCTAATTGACAATTGGAGTTCTTCTGGAAAAGATAAGAACTATAGGATGCATAGTGCCTTGCATAGCTTTTGTGTAAGAGAAGCTCAGAAAGAGGGCATTTTTTGTGCTTTAAATACTCTGCAACTTCCACGAGGGTCATTTAGCATGTTTGCAAATTCATGCCGCTGGTTAAGCTTATACACACATAAATTTGACTATTATGTGTTGTTAAGAACAAACAACCCTCGCTCCATTTTCTTCTTTCAAGAAGATGCTGATGATATATTTATATCTTTCAAGTTGCTTAGAGTTTTGGCTTTTGCTCCATCTTCGTTTCTTCAAAGAGTGCCAGCACGCTTGCATGATTTAGTCTTTTTGAGATACCTATATGTTACAAAGTGGTTTGAGGGTCTTGATTATGTAGTGTCAACCAATCAAAACTTGCAGACACTTGTTGTTTCTAGTAAAGAATCCCAACTTGAAACACCTATTATCCCTTTGCCTTCAACAATTTGGGAGCTACCGCTGTTACGACATCTTGAGCTTGACAAATCTTATGTGATTGATCCTCCAAGCATGATTAAAGATAACATGCGAACGTTATCTTGGGTGTGTTCAACTCATTGTAGAGCAGGAGTATATTGCAGGTTTCCATACATTGAAAAATTGAAAGTCTTTGTATTTTGCAGCAATCCTATTATTTTGGATAATCTTGAATATTTGGAACGTCTTGAGATACTATCAATTTCAATTTCATTTGGTTGCGTTGTTACCCTTCCAAAGCCATCTATGTTTCCTTCACAACTAAAGAAGTTGAGGTTGAACGGTACTAAGCTTTCAGAGAGCGATTTAAAGGCAATTGAAATGTTGCCTCAGCTTGAGGTTCTCAAATTGGAAAATGCCTTTGATGGGAAAGTATGGGAAGTAGAAGGAGGATTTTGTCAATTAAAATTCTTGCTTCTTGAAGATAAAACGCTTGAGCAATGGATGGTCGATGATGAATCTTTCCCAAATCTTGAGCACTTAGTCTTAAGATTTTGTTATTGTTTAGAAGAAATCCCTAAGGCTATAGAATATATTTCGAGATTGAGGTCAATTGAGTTGCAGTGGTGTACTCCGTCCGTTTGCTATTCTACAAAGCGTATTCAAGATTTTCGACACGAAATGGCAGACGATTTGTTTGAGGTTAGAAGCTACCTAGCTAGTACAGTACAACATGATTTATTATTTTTCTATTCAATGGTTACAAAATCATCTCATCTTTCTGCTGCTATTTCTCATATTTCCAATTCTGATCTCATTTCATTCTTATATTAGTTATTATGCATTTATTTTTCTATTCAATAACGCTAATTTTCTTTACAAAATCTATAGCAATTTTCTCTCTCTGATGTCATTTTGCATTCTCTTTTTCATATAGCTCAAAATCATTGGAGAAGAGTCTATACCTGCAGATGATGAATGGCAAGCTAAGGTATGGATGCTAGAATTGAATAACAAAATTTGGTTGCCAACTATATATAATATATATTCTTAATATTTGCATCCTCGATCTTTATTCTTTATACATGTTATATATGTCCTTTCTCATTGCATGTTTCTATCACTTTGTAGTCCCCTATTTTCGAGTTAATTATCAAAATGGTCCTTTGACTATAGCGAAATTACTGATTTGGTTCTTGACTATTTTTTTGACCAATTAAGTCCCTCAACTTTAAAAATCTTAACCAATTTGGTCCTCCGTTTATTTTGCCGTTAGACATCCGTTCACTCGGGACTAAATTGGTAATTTTACTATAGCCAAGGGACCATTTCGGTCATCACATTCACCATTTTCTCCGAAAGTTAATTACTGAAATGATCCCTTGACTATAGCGAAACTACTAATTTGGTCCCAAGGTAACGGATGTCTAACGGCAAAACAAACGGGGGACCAAATTAGTTAAGATTTTCAAAGTTGAAGGACTTAATTGGTCAAGAAAAATAGTCAAGGACCAAATTGATAATTTCGCTATAGTCAATGGACCATTTCGACAATTAACTCCCTATTTTCTGTATGTAATCTTCTATTTTAACAAATTTTGTATGAAGATCGAAGATTATAGCTTTTGATTATCGATTGGAATCTTGAATTTTATGCATGTTATGTATTTGATCCAATATAATTTGATTTTCTCTCCTTATATATGTTCTGCATCTAAGAGGATATTTGGGAAAATATCTCAAGTTGAATCATCAAGTAAAAAATCTTCATCTTAATCTAGTACAGTACGTACAACATGATTCATTCTTACATTTCCACTTAGTTTTCTATCCAATGGTTACAAAATCGTCTCATCTTTCTAATGCTATTTCTCCCTCCTTCAATTATCATCTCATTTCATTCTTATATTAGTTATGCATTATGATAATTTTCTTTACAAAATCTATTGCAATTTTCTCCCTCTACCCTAATATCATTTTGCATTCTCTTTTCCATATAGATCAAAATCATTGGAGAAGACTCAGAAGAATCTTAATATTTGAATGACAAGCTAGCAAAGGTATGGATGCTAGAATTGAATGACAAAATTTGGTTGCCAACTATATATATAAAATCTTAATATTTGCATCCTCGGTCTTTATGCAATCATTATTACATGGACCATGGTCCACACAGCTGTGTGGACCATGAATAAAAAGTATATTTTTAATATACTAAAAGTACATTATTTTTGTACGTAAAGTATAGTTTTTTGAAAGTACATTATTTGAGTTCTGATAGTATCTAAAAACATAATAAGTGTGAATGAATGTTATACCCTTGATTTATGTCTGTTTTTTCCGTTAAATTTTTTTTTATACGCTATGCTATAAAAGTTGTACTTTTAGTATATTAAAAATGTACTTGATATTCATGATCCACACAATAATTTGCCATATTTATGCATGTTATATGTCCTTTCTCATTGCATTTATGTTTTTATTACTTTGTAGTACAGTCCCCTACCTATTTTCTGTATGCATGTAATCTTCTATTTAAACAAATTTTATATGAAGAAGATTATAGCGTTTCATTATCAATTGAAAACTTGAATTTTATGTTATGTATTTGATCCAATATAATTTGATTTTTCTCTCCTTATATATATATGTTCTGCTTCCAAGAGGATATTTGGGAAAAATATCTCAAAGTTGAATCATCAAATACGAGGAAGAATTGAAGAGTTGAAGTTGATGACTACTGTAAAACTAATCTAAATTTGGAACACGTTCCACACATACTAAAAATAGGAAACATCATGAAAATGACTAAAAGTGTCCAAAAATAATAGTATGTGATGTTAAATGACAAAAACGATAGTCTGAGACTAAATTTGAAATTACCACCAAAGATAAATCTCTTGTGAAATTAACTCTTTCTTTAAACTTACTTTTTTCAGGTCTCGACTGATGCAAGTTGAGCGCAAGTTTAGAAGCTGTTACCTTGATAGACTCCCTTGTTTTAGATTGCCGTTAGTCAGTTGATCTCTTGAGACTGGTAGTTTATGATGTTGGGACTTTTAGACACTTGGTTGTAGACTTTGATTAAATGATACTGATGTTATCTCTTGGTTTGTATGATGGTTAGACATCCGAGTCCTTTGAATCCTCGTTTGTTTATCCTGGTATTTTTGTTTTGTTTAGATTAGTACTCTTGCAGTTATTCAAGAATGGATAGTTGCGGCGGTAGCATCCCCATGAATGTTCTAAGGATTTTAATCTTTATCTTAATATGATGATTGGAACTTTCTGATTAACCCTTTTGTTTAAGCTTATAACTGTCCATAGGCTCTAGTGTTAGAATTTGGGGTATTACAATTATATTATAGCTTTGGACTTTTGATTATTATCAATTGAAATCTTGAATTTGAAGTAATGTATTTGGTCCAATATAATTTGATTCTCTCCTTATGTATGCTCTGAATCTAAGAAGATATTTGGGGAAAATCTCTCAAGTTGAATCATCCAATACAAGGATCCGAAAAGCTGAAGTTGATGATTACTATAAAACTAATCCAAAGTTGGAAAATGTTGCACGTATACGAGAGGCGATAGATTCTTCTTGTTTAGAAAATTGCGTATCAATTTTCTCAAGTTGTTGAATTTGGTTGGCGAATTGTACTCTGGAATTGTGATTATATATATAGTTTTTTTTTTCTTTTTTTTTTTTTTTTTTTTTTTTTTTTTTTTGTGTGTGGTGGATATTGTACTTTTTACATACGAAAATATTTTAATTATTTTTCAAGAGTATTGTAATTTCAGTTATATAAGTATGATGAAACTCTATATTAGAGAGGTCAAAATTAATTCTATATGTAAAAAAAAATTATTTCAAACATTTAATTTTCAAAATTAATTCTATATGTAAATAAATTATTTCAATCATTACTTTCAAAAAATTCCACTTAGAGAGGGAAGATGAAAAAGGATGAGCTTCATAATTCTCCCTAAGTATTCTATACCCCAGCTTCACACTGTAATTCCCCCTTAAGTCCCCATTCCAGTACCAACAGTCATCAAAATCAGGGCATATAATATTACATATAGAATTATATTCTATAAAAGAATTTATGCTAGAGGCGAATAAGTTCTAATTATTAGTACTTTTATGTGTATAATTAATATCAAACTCATATGATTTCATGTTAATTGGAAGCTAATTAAGTATGTGTTTATTTGAGTCTTTTATGTAATTTGGATGATTTGGAGGCATTTATTGTAACATCATGTAAATTGAAGCTCAATTGGATGTGTTTTGAAGTCATATTGACATAAAGGCGTGTTCTGGGAGTCATGAGAGGTCATGAAAGTGAAAAAAAAAAAAAAAAAAAAAACTAGTTTGAAGTATCATGACATGACCCGTGGATCCAAAAAAGGAACAAAGGAGATGGAGAAAGATACATTTTAAAGTGAAGAACATGGGTCAGGCTGGTCGTCACGTCGTGACCACCAGCGTGACACCATTCTGCTATGTTTTTCTCTGCCAGCGATATTTCGATATTTTGATCATATCTTGAGTTAGGAGTGTCAAAATGGGGTGATTCAAGTGGTAGTGGAACGGTGATAAAGACGGTTTTCAAACATCCATCAAGCATCAAATCACAGTATAGAGTTAAGATATCGTTCCACTGGAGATGACTCTTGTAATGTTATGAATTGATGAAAACTGGAGTTAAACACAAGCTAAAAATATCACTGTAAAAGCTAGGCCTATCCTTAATGGGTTGGTTTGATAGGATTAAGCTAATAACAAATAAAACAAGTAAAACAAAGGACCGGGACTTGGTTGATTCAAGCTAAGATGTCAAATATTATACTAAGGATTAGGGAGTTAAACAAGGCATAGGGTAAGTGAGATGCACAAAAGTGTTCAAATACCACTCTCGTAGCTATTTAGACTTTTAAAGACTCTCTACGAGTTTAAATTGAATATATCTCCAAATTTTTAAAGTTTTTAAAAGTTTTTAAAAATTTATGAATACACTCATTTAGAACCCACAAAGACAACCTAGATTTTTATATACTTTAGTCTGAACATTTTTTTAATGCTTTCATCATGTGCAGTATCAGTGGAGACAAAAATGATTTGGACCTGTTCAAGATTAATAATAAATTAAATATAAAAAGTGGTTGGAGTTATTTGAATCGGGAGAAATTAATAATATACTTCCATGTGCACCATGCATTCAGACTTGGTATTATAGATCAGATGAGGGATAAATTATGATTTTTTTAAATTAAGTAATTAAGTAGATTATCAGACCATCTAATTACTGGACATACACCTTCATCTTTAGGTGTTTCTTAGAATCAACCTTTTACCTCATCAACTTTTTTAATTTCCCAATGATTCACTGAAACTAATTAAAGCTTAATCTGCATTCAAAAAAAAATTAAAGCTTAATCTTATTTTGACTTTACATGACATCTATCAAAAGCAAAATATATATGAAAGATTTGGGACTCTAAACTATTTAACTTTACAAAAATTAATATTATCATTGTTAATACTTACTAGTATTTGTCCCGTGCGATGCACGGGAAATATGTTATAAAAATATACCCTATATGAGGTTTATTCATATATAAAAGTTTTGTTATTTAATAATTATGTAATGAATTGTTATGATAAAATTATGAACATAAATATATTTACAATTAAAATAAGAATTGATATTTAAGGTGGGTGATTACTACAAATCTTAAACTATATTAAAAATTTAGTACATAGTATTTAATATTACAAATTTTTAAGAACTTAGTAAACTACAATAGTAATTGAATTACAATTTTCAGAGTCACCACGGATCAAAATTTTTAGACCTTTGAGATTTCTAACTCTAGATGCAACAACATACAATTGGCCTTTAAAGACCAAACAATTATTTATAAATATAAATGACTATTAATCATCATCACCATTTTTTAAATAATAATATAGAAGATCCAAAAAATTAAAGAATACAATAATAATAAAGATAGAAATAATAATTGTAACAATAATTGCTCACCAAAATAATAATTATAACAATAATTGTTCACCAAACCATATGGCTATATTATAATTAAGATAAGATAATGAAGGCAAATTATGATGTGGTGCATACGGATGCAAAAACGACGTCGTTTTATTAAAAACGCGCGTCTCCCCTTAAAAAAAAATTCAGGTTCGATTCCCAGCAACAACATATGAACTAAAATTCTAGAATCGATGAACTATAATTCCATAATTGATGAACTAAAATTCCAGGATCTAATTTATGAACTAAAAATTCCAGAATGAATGAACTAAAATTTCAGAATCTATGAACTAAAATTTCAGAATCGATGAACTATAATTCCATAATCAATTAACTAAAATTTCATAATCTATGAACTAAAATTCCAGAATGAATGAACAACATAATGTTGTTGCTGGGAATCGAACCTGAAATTTTTTTTTAAGGGGAGACGCGCGTTTTTAATAAAACGTCGTCGTTTTTGCATCCGTATGCACCATGCATGGTGCATACGAATGCACAGCATAACTACTCGATAATGGGTCGTTATATCGTGCACCGCGGTGCATAATCCATTATGCACCGCGCGTCAGACACTACAGTGTGTCTAAATTGATATTGGCTCACGTATTATTTTTATATTATCAAATAAAACTACAGTTATATTAAAATGATACTGTAGTTGTGGTGAAATGAAACTACAATATATATAAAATGAAACTGAATAATATTTCACATATTTGAGTGTATATTGTACAATGAAGCTGTAATTATATTGCAATGATCATGTAGTTGTGTTTTAATGATATTATAGTGTATATAAAATAAAATTAAATAAAATGTTCACATATTTGAGTGTATAAATATTGAATGAAACTGTAGTTATATCGAAATGAAACTGTAGTTGTGTTGAACTGAAACTGCAGTGTATACAAAATGAAACTGAAGAACAGAGTTATTTTTTGCGAAGATTCTGTTTCTTTTCATTAAATAAAACGACGTCGTTTTGACAATGTCGGTTTAGACACACTGTAGTGTCTGACGCGCGGTGCATAATTAATTATACACCGCGGTGTACGATATAATTTGCCCTCAATAATGAACACCTATTATTTGTAACAGATCTAAAGCCCAATTACAATTAATATTATAATTAGAGACTATACCCAAATGTTTGAAGTCGATCAGCCCAAGACCCGTTGGAGTGGCGCAGGCTGGGAGCCAAAAGTCCTCATTATATTAGCTAGGTAGAGTAGTGCTTTATTTATAGTGAGTGGCAAGGGGACATAATTAATTATTATAAATACTGACATAGCTAACGTGACATTCATCAGTTGGATACTCATGTTGGTCAAGACACTCAAGGGAGTGGCGAATGAGGTGATGACAAAGTTAATGTATCTATTTAACGATGGTTAGTAAGTCTTCTGACACAGAGGGTCGGAAAATCTTTTGACATGAAAGTTCAAAAAGTGCACATGTAGAATCTTCTAGGGTCAAGAATGCACATTTAACCCTCTGTAAACTATGTGGACACAGGAAGTCAGGAAGTAGGCCAAGTATGGTAAGTAGAGTTGTCCTATAACTTTATCAGGTGTGAAGAATATTATATTTTTATAACCTTAATATTATGCAGAAGTGACGGTGGTGGTTGTCCCGCGATGGTGATTAATATTATGCAAGTTAGGTAGGTGGTGGCCTGGACAGAGATTATGTATATTTGTTAATTTAAAAGTTGT